GAGACGCTCTCACGAAATATGTGGTCGCCGAGAATTACATCGATAAACTCATACCTATCGTATCCGACGCCGAAGATCTCGAAAGTCTTGCTGATCTCCATCGTCTCTGCAACATCATGAAGACTATCCTTATGCTTAACGACACATTTCTTATCGAACATGCCGTTTCCGACGCATGTGTGCTTGGTGTTGTCGGCGCTCTGGAATACGACCCTGACTTTCCGAGCCACAAAGCGAATCACCGCCAATGGTTGCAGGGTGAGGGCAGGTTCCGCGAAGTTGTTCGCATCGAGGAGCCTGGCATCCTTCAGAAGATACATCAGACCTATCGGCTACAATACCTGAAAGATGTCGTGCTTGCTCGCATCTTGGATGATAATACCTTCTCAGTGCTGAACTCGTTGATTTTCTTCAACCAGGTGGACATTGTTCAACACTTGCAGGCAAACTCGTCCTTCCTCTCCGAGCTCTTCAACATTTTCAAAGCAGCCCAGGATACGCGGAAAAGAGAAGCGGTCCTTTTCATTCAGCAGTGCTGTGCCATTGCAAAGAACCTTCAGCCCCCAGCTCGAACGACGCTATACAACAACTTCATCGCTCATGGTCTCTTTCAGGTCGTCAATTTTGGACTCAGAAGTAATGACGTATCGGTTCGCGTTGGTGCAACAGAGATTATGGGATGCATGATAGACCACGACGCCCAGATGATTCGCCACACAATCTATCGCCAAATAAACGAAAAGCAACCTCCGTTGACTGACACCCTTATCGACCTTTTGCTCGTCGAGACAGATTTAGGGGTCAAATCACAAATCTCCGAAACGCTCAAGATTCTACTTGAGCCCGGACACCAGATACCGGCCGAAGCTTTTGCGAAGGCCAATGGGGACTATGCCGGTAGGGCCAGGATAGTCCTCCAGGAGCCGGATCCTCAGCAAGACCATTTCCTCGGCCTCTTTTACGAAAAGTCAGCCATCAAGCTTTTCCAGCCCCTGATCGCATTGCAGGACCGAACGACTATGGAATTCTCCATTGTTGAGGCCTCCGCTTTTAGTTATCTTGTCGAGATCCTTTGCTTTTTCATCAGACAGCATCACCATCGCAGCAAATTCTTCGTTCTGACCCACAACATCGTGCCGCGCATCACTCAACTGTTACAGTGCTCGGAGAAGTTCTTAAAACTCGGTAAGTTAGCTTGTCTTGCTGGTATGACTTTTGCTGACCATGTGCAGTCGCTGTCCGTTTTCTCCGTCAACTCGTTGGTTCACAGGATGAATTTTACATCAAGCACCTGTGCGAGAAAAAAGTACTCGAACCCGTGCTCGACCTACTCATTGAAACTATGCCGCGTGATAATCTTATAAGTTCCGCATGTTTAGAGCTATTCGAGCTCGTGAAAAAGGAAAACATAAAAGACCTAGTGAAGCACATGGTGGAGAACTACCGAGGCAAAGTACACTGCCTGTCGTACATGGAACTCTTTAGGACATTGATTCTTCGGTACGACCAGACGTCGGGATTTACGGCCAACATGGAATGTTTCATGGAGTCTGAGGATGAGTCCTCTCGGGAACGGCAGCGCAACAATCGACTGCCTCCCCAAAGAAATACCATGGAACATTTGACTATGGATGACGCCCAGGAAGAATATTGGAACACCTCGGATGACGAAGATGATCTCCAAATCAAGCCTAGCAATCCATCCTTGTCTGCGAATGGCGAATCCCCAGGCGCCAAGCTTTTAGTTGATTACGCTTCGGATGAAGATCCCGATGATAACATCGATGCGGGAGCTTTCTCAGGCGACGAGGACATGCCAGAAGAGAAGGACCAAACGACGAATGGTGGAAGCCCAGGAGTCGTGGCGCCCCCAGAACGTGTCTCAGAAAAGCGTCGGCGTGAAGAGGAAGAAGAAGACGATCTCAGCAAAATGGTGCAGTCCAAACGCCGCAATAGCTCGTCGGCAGGGTCGACCGCTTCAAGCACTGCATCAAGCGCTCTGCGGAGGAAGAGGGTGGGGTCTGGAGCTCGCGACTCTGGAGGGGGCCCTCGGAAAATTGCAATCAGTCTGACATCCACCGCGAAAGTCGGAGACTTCGAAAGTGAAGAATGAACAGCATGCGACTTTGTTTTAGGCACCTTAACACGCATGGTCATGTCAACTTGGTTCGATGATAGCCACATAACGACGGGACACGAAGATTTTGGCGTTCGGACAGGGTTGGAACGGAACCGGTCTACTAGCCATTGGGGGCAAATAGGATCTTGGTTCACTGGGGAGCAAAGGCAGGGGGACGGACCAGGTTCAGGGCCAGGGCCAGAAAACGAAGCCGCCTATGACGACTCTAATGGACTTCTTGGCTCCCAGGTCGCCGTGTTGAGTACGGTAGGCCGCTGTAACAACAAGGGAATTGGACCTGGCAATTGAGGTCACCTGTACTGTAGTGAACTGGGTCAACAACCTTCGGCTTCGATGAGCTCGACGGGAGCCATCCAATGCGATGATCGAGGGGATATTTGCCAGACCATAAATTCCGCGCTGCGCTGCGTAATAGTAAATGATCGAGATACGTTCACATTTCAGATGTCATATAGCAGACATGCATGCGCTCTCCGCCAATGTCATTTATTGGGTACGATCTGATATGATTTATCGTGATTTGACAATGCGACAAGCGATGGTAGCGTGATTTTAGATATGTTGGTAGGGAATTTCAACAATGAAACGAGATGGTGGTATCGAGGCTGATGTATCCGTGTAGTATTAGATCTCGGGATCCGCCTCCCGATGGCCGGTTCATTGTCTGGAATCGGTATTGTGGAAACCATATACGGTCTGAATTCCATGGGGTAGTTTTAGCACCTTCGTATGTTAGCTTTGTTTCCCCAGGACGCGGGGAGATGGAGCCTTTCTGTAAGTGGTAATTCATTAACATGTCGGTCAGCTTACCAGGTTATCACCAAGGGGCCGAGGTACTACCTACGTCTGTGTCTCCCATCCATCCCAGCAGACAATTGCTGAAGCATCTCATCTCATCTTCAACACCTCCAAGTCATGACATTTGTATGTGTTGATTGAATTGGTTCACGGAAGGAAGCACGCACACGTAGTAGTAGGAATTGTTACCTATCTAACTTGTTCATCATGTCTCGGTCCTTGACGCTCAAGAAGATTGACGGCAAGCCCGGCAAAGTATACTATCCGTGAGTGCATTGTTCATTTCAGTCGATTTCATAATTGCAGCTTGACCCATGATGCCTCGCGGCCCAGCGACGTTGGAATGGGGGGAGCACTACAGTTCATGCATATGCTCTGACCTCTACCAATCAACCAACCTTTGATATACTCACGATATATGTCACGCACATACTAACCCACTTCATAGCCTCCAACTCAACCACAACCCCAAGCCCGTCCCCGGGTCCGGCGAGCTGCTCATCCGCATCGAAGCGGCGGCGCTCAACCACCGCGACCACTTCCAGCGGCAGCACCTATACCCTTACATCTCCTTCGACACGCCCCTCTTCGGCGACGGGTGCGGCATCGTCGAGGCCTGCGGGCCATCGACCAGCGCCTCCGCGCAGGCGCTGCTCGGCAAGCGCGTGATCCTGACGCCCAGCAGAGGCTGGGCCTCTGCGCCCGACGGACCCGAAGGCCCGTTCTCCACCATCGGCGCCTCCTCGCTGACCACAGCCGGCGCCGGCACAGACTACCTCGCGGTCGCCGAAGACGAAGTCGAGGCGGCGCCCGAGTTCCTCTCCGCGCCCGAGGCCGCGGCGCTGCCGATCGTAGGCATCACGGCGTGGCGCGCGCTCGTCATCAAGAGCGGCAATGCCGTTCCCGGCCGCAACATCCTCATCACCGGCATCGGCGGCGGCGTGGCGCTTTCGGCGCTGCAGTTCGCCGTCGCGCTCGGGTGCAATACATATGTAACCTCGGGGTCTGCCGCGAAGCTCTCGCGCGCCAAGGAGCTGGGGGCGAAAGGCGGGGTGTCGTACCGTGATAAGGACTGGGATAAGCAGCTGGCGAACCTGCTCCCGAAGGACAGGCCGTTCCTGGACGCCGTGGTCGACGGCGCGGGCGGCGACGTCATTGCGCGCACGCAGCGCATACTAAAACCCGGCGGTGTCGTCTCGTGCTATGGCATGACGGTCGCGCCGAGGATGGACTGGCTCATGCCGGCGGTGATCAAGAACATCGAGCTCCGCGGGTCGACGATGGGGTCCCGTGTCGAGTTTGCGGATATGGTGGCTTTTGTGCGGGAGAAGAAGATCAGGCCTGTGGTTAGCCGCGTGGTGAAGGGCTTGGATAATCTGGAGGCCATTGAGGGGCTGTATGACGATATTCGCGAGGGGAGGCAGTTTGGGAAGCTGGTTGTGCTGATTGCGAATGAGGAGAGGGAGAGTGCGAAGTTATAGACTGGGTATTTTGAATACCGAGGTACCTAGAAGTTTGTATAGAATGCGGGTTTGAAAGGCTAGGAATAGTGCTTGTGGCCGGTATGCAACGTGATATGGATGACTCTCGTCGCAGCTTTGAAAGGGACTGAATTACAGTGTTCTTTATCTCTGTCCTTTAAATCTAAGTACCTATTGGCCGTAATGATATTTTATCTGTCGTATGAGGACACACGTACGTAAGGTAGAAAATCATTTGCGATGTGAGCACGCAACGACTAAGTAAGGTGCTCGTTTCATTATCTTCTTTGAAACTTAAATTAGATAGAGAGCCCAGGCCATCATCCAAAAGCAAAAGCTGAAATACCCATGTTGCTTTGAGGCGTAACCGAGGACTAAGAAAGTGTACTGCAAAGTCCATAGCAGTGTGGCAACCTTGGGAAGGCATAGTGTAGTCTAGATTCTACCGATCCAATAGGTACTAAGGGTTTCTTTCTACAGGCACCTGGGCCAATACATCCATCCCACTTCCTCCTCCGACCAAGCATCTGAACTTGAACTAAAAGGCAAAGTCAAAAAAAAGAAAATGCTAAAATATTTAGCGACGTGTGCAGGATTCGAACCTACGCGGCCGAAGCCATAAGATAACAGGAATCAGTTTTAATTCAAGTCTTACACGATAACCACTCCGTCAACACGCCAATTCTAGGCGGCAGCGAGCCATGCTATGGAAGGAGCCACCGGTACCGGTGTACTTGACCGATTGATTCGTACCTTCCCTAACGAAGTCTGCCAAAGCTCTATCTCATCCCGTCCGTCAACACGCTACATGTATTGCTACGGTATGGTTCGTGATACATCGATCATCTACCGCCAGTTTCTGGAGTTATAGTTAGCATTAAAATTGGAGGCGATAGTCACAGGCATGTTACCAGCTTCGGCCTCTTTCTTCGCACGAGCTTCAACGACTGCAGTAACATTGTCGTGCGCTAAGATATAGGAGCACGCACCTATACACTCGGGACCTCGCCACTGGGCCGCTGTGCGCCAAAACTTAGGTAGGTAAGGTTTTCGACCACATTAATACATCTGCTTTGGTGCATCGGCTACCAACAAATTACTCTGGGAAATGGTGTTCTTTTGGCAATCGTCAATCTCATGACCTGCAAAACCAGAACCAAGAAAGAGAAACAAAAAAAAATAAGATGAGTGCTTAGAAGACCCTCATACTGCCGGCAAGACTAGACGATCTCGAAGCGAGGCACCTGATTAGGGGTCGTCCAGCTGTCAATGCATATACCATATACCCTAGGTGGGACATATATCTGCAGCGGAGGGAGGCGAGGGAGGCTAGGCGTGCGCACGTCGGACCCATGCCGCTAATGAGATCGCCGAATGGCTCCTCCCGGACTCCAGAGTGGTCGCCGTCCCCTTAGCTTCAGGCTTTCTCGGCGCCTACCCGTGGGGCCTGCATTTTGGACCAGTTCGCCGACCAATTTGCAGAACAACTCAACAAGAAAGGGTCAATAATGAATCCCGACATCTCGGGCCCTATCCACCCCAATTACCGGCCACTTCCTTAGTGCGCCAGCCACACCAGCACGGCGCCAACTTTTTGTTGTTTGTTATTGTTGTATGCCTTTGCGCATAATTACACTCTAATCTTGGACACAATGAAAGCGTCTCCCTAAACAAAAGTTCAAACTTCCATAACGGTTGCGAGCAAAGGTTTTTTTTTTCAAGTTTTTTTTTTTTTAAAAAAACTTGCATGCTCTTCTCTCATTGTTTGCACATGTCTGCGTGATGCTGAGAGATACCGAAATAGAACGTGGCCGGCGCTATGTATGGGTTGGTTGGTTACATGGGAAGCGAACAACGGCGCAGACCCAGGTTCGCCGCCGGGATGGAGTCGGCGACCCTCCTTTCGAAGCCCACACTACTAATAGTAGGGTAATTAACCTTAGCAAAGATAACCGGCCAGGTAGCCGGCCAGCCAAGGCAAACAAGACGCTGTTCGAATGCATTGCACGAGTCATAGCCCCAGACTACAAGAGCAATCTACATTTCCCATTGCTTAAGGAGCCTACAGTAGCTTGTTCTTGGGTCTTATATGCCGGCATCATTGCTGCGAACACGGAAGATATAGGTTAGCATGTTCGACCTGGAGGATCCTGACTACTAAGGGGCCCTATCTTCACCATGTGGACCTCGCAGTGAGGAACGTGGCCGGGCCAGAGATGCGTTCAGGCCGTTCTGACGAATGATCCTCGAGGGTGCAAGATGATGACACCGCTCCTCCTCCTCATCCCTTCGTACATTCTGACTGTGGTCCCGACGACCCATTCATCTCCCTGTTGCTGGCGGGGTACTTAGCTCCCCGAAAGGTGCTATAATAGCAGAGTATATAACGCAGATATATCACTACCTTAGAAGGTATAAATCACCGAGAAAAAAGACGAGGGAAAGACGAGGATCACGCTGTTGCTACGACTTAAAAGGCACGGAAGAGAACGATCAATATTCGAAACTGAACGAGTAACGACCGAAACGACCGAAACGAAACTGAAGAATAATACTAGCATGGGAAGGAAATATACATCTTAAAACGTTCGAAATGCTAGACTCGATTATCTCAGGAGGGGTGTTTGGCGTTGCGCTGGCCGCAACGGGCATGTATCAGCCTGAGGTGATCCTATCGCAGATGAAGCTCGAGAACTGGCATATGGTACAGACGTTTCTCACAGCGTCGGGGGCAAGCACGTAAGTACAGCACAAAAGTCAAACTACATGGATGGAAAGAACGGTCGCCTCGCCTCAACAAGTCACTGACACACATATAGCCTCCTCGTTACACTATGTCAGAGACTGGGTTATCTGCACGCCAAACCACGTAACTACTCATCCCTAGGTCTTTTCGGACCTCTCGATGGCAACATAATCGGCGGGCTTCTTTTGGGAGTCGGCATGACCTTGACCGGCTCTTGCCCCGGGACCGTATTCGTCCAATTCGGCGCCGGCGTACGCAGCGGAATATTCACACTCGGCGGGTGTATACTTGGAGGCATCATCTGGTCCGGAATTCTCCGCCCGATACTAGCATCGTTCAAATCGAAACGCCGGATACCGCCCCCAAAACCAGAAAATCTAACAATACACGGAGCACTGGGTATCAGTCAGACTGCAGCCGTGGGTGGTGTCACGGCAGTCTTCGCAGGCGCGGTGGCCGCAACATCTGCCCTTGGACTTGTCAAAACGCGCGGTCTCGTCGACCCCGTGTCCGGTGGCTTTTTAATCGCCGGCGCTCAGCTGTTTTCCGCGTTGACACGGAAAACCTTACTAGGAACATCCGCGTCCTTCGAAGAGTGCGGGGACTGCGTTTCGTGGTTGGCGAAAGGAGGTGGCAAGAATAAGCCTACCTCTTACGGTTCGATGGCCGTTGTTACGGGCATGACGATCGGAGCTTTCGGACTGTCGCTCATCACACCACTCTCACATGCTGTCTCACAAGTCGATATCGAGACCAAGAGATTAGTCGCCGGAGGCGTCTTGCTCACGATAGGGTCTAGAATGGGAGGCGGCTGTACTTCGGGTCATGGTATCACGGGTATTTCGCTGCTCTCTGTCTCGAGCTTTGTTACTGTTGCTGCCATGTTTGTAGGCGCGTTCGGTGCTGCGGCATTCTTATGAAGCAACCTGTAGAAGAAGATTCTTGACAAAAGATTGCCCAACACGAGAAAGTGTTATACATCCGCTTTCCGGCTGTTACCTACGGTTTTCAGTGTATATGTTGCGAAAAGTCCGCTATAGTAACTTAAGAGTACATTAGATGATATCTTCTATTGCTCGCGCCTAGTAGATAAACATCTGGCTGGGACGTTGACCACGCGTATGACTATCATCTACAACACACTTTACACACCCATTCATTGTTTCATATCAAGAAGTGTGATAACCTTGGGTCTTGGAAACGACTGGCTGTCGAACATAATAAAGCTTGAAGGGGCAGGTGGCATGGGGTTGATGCTAACAGGCATATCATACATAGACTGTCGAGATCGGCAACTAGATAAAATCCCACTAATCGAAGCATCGTCCTGATGTCCAATATCGGTATAAGAACGAATCCGAGGCTCGACCATCTTGACCCTCTGCTGATCTTCTACATATCAAATATGCAACTTCTTCGGGCTCCACTACCGTTGAAGTCGGCGGCTTACGTCTGTCTACCTGTGGAACGCCTAGCTCTAGATTCGAAACTTGTTATGAGCGACGATATAGTATGCAATGTAATGCAATGCATGTAAGCTGTTCCTTTGCCGAGACCAGTTTAGTTTAGTTTAGGCCGCTGCTGGCAGTGAAGATGATCGGCTGGGCTGGTCCTTTACGTTTCTACACATATATCTAGCTCTGTGTAAGTCGGCATGCAGCTTACGGAACTGGTGTATGAAACGCCAATCAAAAATTCTTTCAAAATTAGCATTGGTCGAAATAGTCGCCGACTCTGAATCCTGGAGGTAGGATTTGTTTTTTAGATTAGCCAATGATGGCAAATCATTTCTTCACGGAAGACAACGACCCATTTGACTGAATCTCTAACATGCGTCAGGTAGGTAACGTATCATGCCATGCCATGCCATGCAACGCATTCAAATCCCGCTGACGTCCCCTCGCTCCCTCCCCCCACACATCAACCCTCCCTCTCCCTCGCCGACCCCTTCACAGCCGTGACCTCGATCTCGATCTTCATCTCCTCCTTCATGAGCCCGGCGGAGATCATCGTGCACGCCGGCCTTGCGTTGCCGAACCACTTCCTCAACACGGGCCAGATGGTGGGGAAATCCTCCCGCCGCGGCACCGTGTAGGTGACGCGCACGACGTCCTCGACGGAGGACCCGGCCTCGGACAGCGCCGAGGCCACGTTCACGAGACACTGCTCCGCCTGCTCGACGACGTCGGCGGAGAGCGCGCCTGTGTTGTAGTCGTAGCTGTGTCGCGTGGGCGGTTGGTTAGTTGGACGAGGCGTCTCGGTGAGTAGGAAAGAAAGTAAGTAAGTGTAGAGTGCAGGAGTAGGTAGGTAGGTGTTTTAGAATTCGGTCTCGTCAACAACCTATTTCAGAGGAATGTGTGGAATTGGATCCTAGCCAGGATAGTAGAGAGAGAGAGAGAGAGAGAGGCTATTGCTTCTCTGAGATGAGGGACTTAAGGTAGGTACTTACCCCGTGCATCCAGACACAAAGATGAAGTCACCCGTAACTACTGCCCGAGAATATCCAATCTCCTCCTCGAACTTGGAACCAGAGCTGATTAGTGTGCGTGCCATGTTGGAGTGTGGCGTATATCATCAGACTTGTCGACTTGATTTGATAAAACGTATACGATGAGTAGTATACTGATTGGCGGCTTATGTTGGTGGCATATATATAGCACGGCGTTGAGATCGTATAGTGATTTCCATGCAACGGCCCGGAAACCGGTCTTCTGACCGGAGACTAATGCCGCCGCCAGCTGCGTGAGTCACATATACGCCAAGAGTGTGCTTAGTAGTCTGAGAAATTCAAGGTGGTCTATTGCAACGAAAAACATGCTTTTGAATCTCTGATTTCGCATTTCACAATAACATGCATCTAGGTAGTTATGAGAAAAAAAGCAACTTTTCTATAAATTATTGCGCCCTTACTAATTCCATCACCATAAGTACATA